TCCTGCCTCTTGTCAGCTTCTCGGATAGCGCTCCCTCGAGCCCTACGGAATCTTGCGAATGCTCGGGTGCTCTTGCGGGTGGCACAAAGTAAGAGGGGCCCGCAGGATAGTTGGATAACGAGAGGTTCACGGTCGTGGGCAGAGAGGAAGAAGGATCGATATCGACGAGTTCAAACTCGAATGAATTGGAGGGTAGGTCTTCTGAGGACACGGGTATGGCAGTCGCTGGAATGGCCGATGTAGAACCTGTTCCCGCTGAAGGTCTCTTTCTTGAAGACGGAGTAGATGTCGAGGGTTTGGACGGGGAGAAAGGGGGAGAAGAAGGAGTAGCAGGAATAGCTGAGGACGCTTGGCTTGCATGTCGATCGCGTCGCCGCGTAATGGAAGATTTATTACCAACCGACGTAGCCCTTGTCAGTGTGCCTGCACGAGATCATTATGTACGATAAAAAAGAGAAGAGTTAGCATCAAATTTGGGCATAACAGCGCTGACGACGGTGATGACGGTGAGCGAGCGAGAGAAAAGGGACGAGGAGGAGGCTGGCGAATGACATGAAGGGATGCACAAACAAGAACGGAGAGAAGAGAGAAACGATAATCACTTGAAGCACTGTTTGCGAGAGAGGTGCTGCTCTCTGCAGCTGCAGCCGTCAACGGTCTTTTGCTGACGTTGGACCTGGGGGCGAAATAATAGATGTCCGGATCAAAGAAAGGGGTTGGAAGAGGAATGCCCTGGAGATCGTGATGTCTGCCACCGCTCATTGCGAGTTGTTGATGTCGCTGAATCTCTGCAAAGGAGAGGAGCGGCGTGGAGTCTGGGGCATAGATAAAGCTTGGACCAGCGACCATATGCGATGCATGCGGTGGCGTAGATAACCCAGCTTTTACCAATTCGCCCACTTTGGACGTCACTTTGCGTCTAAACCCCTTGCGTGCTTTCGGCTGCACTCTCTCGCTATCAGTATGCGGATCATCCAGTCGTGTTGAGCTCGGCGAGGGTCGTCCCGGATGATCGTCGTGGTCCAGCGAGAGCCGCGATGGCACGGGGGGAAACGAAATCGTCGAGAGATTCGATGGCTTGGGAGGAGTGCTGTTACTTCTCTTACGATTGTGCGCCATATCCGGGTCCAGTACTCTCTGCTCACTCGCGAGCAACCGGGAGAGTCTGATGAGGCTACATAGGACAGGCCTCCATGGGTTATATGTATGTATGCACCCACAAAGAAAGAGAAAAAGGTTGTATTCTAACTGTTTCCCCGCATTGAGGCCCTCGCCGAGGGACCTGAACGCAGGGCCAGAACGCATTCACCTGGGAGCACTCTCACGAATGGCCAATTCGCCGACAATCCAGCAGACGAGCAACCAAATTCGACTTTAGACGTGTAGACGTATTGATTTTAATGTCAGCCCGTTGCGCATACCTTAAAGGTTGAATGTCTGCTCTCCCCAATCCCCGAGTTCTCGCAGTTGGCAGAAGGAAAAGCCACAACCACTCCTCTATATCATCGGCGACAAAGGCTTTATGTCTAGCTCACATGCAATCGGACAAGGTACGAGACTCGCGTCGGAGTGTTCTAATATCTTTTGTTCCTATATTCTCCGCAGCGCAGCCTAGCTTATTCACCGATATTCCCTGGAAAAAGCTGGCGTGCACTGGTATCGTTTACTATCTTGACCGTGGGGAGCAAAAGGAGGTTATCTCTTCTCTTACGGGTATAGTATGCCGCAAGCCATCCCAGCCGACTGACTGTAGATAGGAGCCGCTCTCCCGAACGTATCGCAGTCGCGGTCATCGAGGGATCGTTTACTCGAGTTCAGATGCGAATGAACAGAAGGACGCCGTCCTCGGTCAAGCCACTTAATAGTATCATTCAGTCACGGCTCAACGAGAAGGGGGCCTATGAGCCATATATAGTCTAATATTCACAAATACATTTTCTCTCTCTTCAAAGGTTTAAGCTCATGAGAAGAGAACTACATCCTGCCAGTCAAGATGCCCCATTCAACCCGTCTATTACCACAACTTTTGGTGCACTTTTCCTTCATTAGTCTAACCACTGTACGCCTATGTTCCGGCGTTATTCACCGGAGGCCAGATAATGAGCATTTCGGTGATTACAACGCGCCCTTTGGCGGAGTGTAAAACCGCTCCACTCCGCTTATTCAGCGACCATCACTTCTTCGCGCCTTGACCTCTTCTTCTACCCCTTATAAAATTCTTTCTTAATTCTGTAAAACAGTTATAAAAACAGTGAACGAACATTGAACATGGCTTCGAAATTGACAGACTAGTACGTATCCATCTTCGCCATTGTTAAGAGGACTCAACGTTGCCTTTATTGCTCCATTCCATTTTACATTTATTGTAATTCCGTCAATTCGTTCACGTGAATCGAACATCAACCAACACGTGTTGTACCCCCAAAAAGTGAACGCGAACGACAGGCGAATATCGCCTCTAACCAGGCACTCCTCCAACAACTCCAACTCAACGATGCACCCACTCTCGCATTCGTACCCGTCGCTACTTCAAAGACCTCCACAGCCAAAGGCAAGGGCCCCGCAAAGTCCCGTGCTAGTACTGGTGGCAACAAGAAGGCGGCCCAGCCCCGCAAGACGTCTGGAGTGAAACGCAAGTCGAGGGGTGGTGGAAAAGGTGATGATGATGATACAGATTCGGAGGACGAGATTGTGGTGAGGCGGATGAGTACCAGGAGGGGACGAAGGGCGTTTATTGATCCGAACGAAACTCCGGAGCAAAAGGCTGCTCGTGAGGTAAGAGCTTGCAGTTCTAAACCATTTCAACGACTTCTTATACCATTCTGTTCGTATTTGATAGAAAGAAGAAGAGCGACGCGCCATCATTGAAGAACAAGAACGCCTAGAAGCACTGGAGCTCGCGCAAAAGGCAAAGCAACCAAGACACGGTGACCTCGAACTCAAAGAGGCGCTCAAAGGAGATAAATGGGGCTCCAAAGACGGTAGCTCCAA